TCCACTGTCTTCATCCCATACCTGTAATGCAGCCATCGAGTCTTTATTAGCATACTGATGAGAGCCATGGGCAATCTGGGCTCCAGGGGAACGTCTAATGCGTTACCAGGATGCCTATCTCAGATGCTGTGTTAAAGCAGAAAGCCTCGCTGCGGTGGGAGTTCCTCCCTCCTATCTAATGTTGTTTGTTTGTGCCCGTCCTCTCCCTCGGCCCAGTCACTCATCGCTTGTGCCGACAGGCATCCGAGACCCTGGGGCCCCGGGGAAGCTGGAAGCAAAGCGTGAGGAGCAAAGGAGCCCGTGTCCCGGTGGGAGAGAGGAGGCAACGTTGCTTTCCTGCAAACACAGGATGCGTGGGATGGGTTTCCAGGCTGCGGATGGGCACAGCTCCCCTGGCAGCCTCCAGTTGTTCATGCCTGTGGTGCCACATTTCTGTCACACCACTCGTGCCCAGGGCGCTCGCTAGGTTTCGTTAAGGGGTTTACCAGTTGTCAGCAAAACCCCTTCACCCAGCAGCAAGACAGCATGTTCCCTTTCAGAGGGCAGCTACATGCAAGGCAGCAGGAGAGGTTGGGTTGGATTGGGCTGGGCTGGGCTGGGCTGGAGCAGGGCTGGGGTACTCACCTCCTGCCTCTCGGCCCTCGAAGACCCACCGGTTGTCAGGACACCCTTTGTAAGCCATGCCTGAGCAGCGGGGCTTGCCTTCGCAGGGTGCACCGGGAAGGGGCTCTGCTTGGAGGGGTGCTAGGCCGTGCTGCCTACCGGAGCCCCTCGCACACTGCTGCCATTCCTGGGAAACCTCCCCCTTTGTTTTCCTGACTACAGTCTGATGTCCTGGGTAATGCGTTGTACTTCACGCTCAGCCTAGGGCTCATCCTTTTGAGCTGTCAGATCCGAGCATCCCACATCCTCGAGTCGGAGACTCCTCTCCAACTGGAGAAGTGGGGCAGGAGAGGCAAAGGAGGTTGAGGTGGTGGCAGAGCTGCTGGGAGGGAGGAGCGATGTGTCCAGCTGGGTCCTGGAGCTGCTCCTCTCCTCAGGTCTTTAGCCAGCGGGGCTCCAGGGCACACTGAGCACAAGTGTCACAGGAGGGCGCTTGGTGTCCTTCCCTGCAGATGGGAATGCCCTGTGTCAAGGCTCCTGAGGAGGCTTTATCTCCTGCTCCTGCAGAGGGAGAGAGGAATTGGAAACCAGTGGGTCTGTCTCCTTGCAGGGACAAAAGCTAAGGACCCCGCCGTGTCGCTGTGTGACGGCTTAGCTGCCTGCCTGGGAACTGCAGTTGCGCTTGGGGAGTGAGGGAGGTGACGTGCCTGTGGCTTGTCCCGGGCTGTGGTGGACCTGGTGCCCAGATCTCCTAGCTGCTGGAGCAGAGCTTGCTCCCCGCTGATCCTTTCCAGCCTGGTGCTTGCTCTTCTTTTTCGGTTGTGCCGGCGTTTGTTCCCCTAGCTATTGTGTGTCTGGTCTGTGGGTCACGTATCACTCAGATGGCTGGGGTGTGACAGCAGTAGAGTCTCGTTTAATTCACTTTTCCTGGAAATGGTTTTCTCTGGAACTGGTCAACAACTCATTGCCCCGAGGTGGAAGTGGTGTGATTTCACCATGCAAAAAACCTACGGAGTTTGGGTGTAGTCTTCTCGCTAGGTTTGGTGAATTAAGAAAGGGAATCTTTTAAAGGACAAACTGTGAAAAAGCAGCCTCTTCCTGAGAGAGATGCGGTGAGGCAATCCAGGAGTGGAGCAGGGGGTGAAAGAAGAGAGATTTGGTAGGAGAATGCCTTTGTCTTAAAGGTCCAGTGCAAGTGGGACCCAGGCAAGAGCAGCCGTGCCCGGAGTTGGGGGAGGACACTCTGGTCCTCCTCAAACCAGGTGAGTTTCTTTCCTATGTTAATGACTCACCTCTCCTCATCCTTCTCCGTTCCTCCCTTTGCAGTGACCAAGCTGCAGGTGAGCAAGTCGAAGCGGAGCATCACGCTGGTGGAGAACCGGCCCATCCCCCTCAACTGCTCGGTGAAATCCCAGACCAGCCCCGACTCGCACTTCGCCGTGCTGTGGTACGTCCACAAGCCCTCCGACGCCGACGGCAAGCTCATCCTGAAGACCACCCACAGCTCGGCCTTTGAGTACGGCACCTACGCGGAGGAGGAAGGGCTGCGGGGCCGGCTGCAGTTCGAGCGCTCGGCGTCGGGCGGGCTCTTCAGCCTACGGTGCAGCGCGGACGGAGGTCACCGTCAAGCAGCCAGGTACCGCGTGCCGCCCCGGTGGGGTCCTCTTGGCATTGGCTCTTGTGCACGGCTCATGAGCTTGCCGAGCTTTTCTGGGGCAACAAGGATCCTCTGCTCTTCTTTCCGCTACAGCCTTGTCACCCCTTTCTTGCGTCCTCATGCCTGCACGTCCCTGCACGAAGGGGGATGTTTTCCCCCTTTGATGCGACCCTCCTCCATTTAGGCAGTGGTAACGTGCATTTCAGTGTCCCCACATTGTCCGTCCCCCACGATCTAGAGGGCTGCTGTATCCAGCCAGATTCCTTTATCCTTAAAAGCATCATATAGCAAGAGTGTCGACTAGCGAGCTACTGAGAGAGAATCGGTGTGTGCCTGCCTCGGAAAGCGTTTTTATGTTTTGCATACAGTTTAGTTTTGCTCTGTGCCTGTATCCTGGCAGGCACAGGGAGCCTTGTCACTTTTCCTTCTGCGCTGTGCACAATGCGATGCAAGTAATGAGTTTAATGAGGTGGGGAGCTGGCTGCCAGGAAAGGAGAAATCTGCTCTCCTGGTGGTTTCCGTGGCAGCAGACATCACTGGTACAGGTGGGCTGATGGAGGAGCTAAAGATGTCCCCCACAAGCTGGGGACAGAGCCCTCGTTTTGTGCAAAGCGGGGAGGCAGGCAAGCAAGCACTGTCTCTGAGAGCAGCCTGGACCCCATGTGCGCTGCTGAGGCAGAGCATCGGCACTTCACGGGGAAGCCTGCCTTGCCCATGCTTGCTCTGGGTGCCTGTTTCTGGAGGATAAAATCCCTCAGGCAGGAGGGGCACACCTGGATAGAAGGGCTGGACTAGGATGCTTAATGCATTTTCTCTGTCTGGATTTGGCTGGCTAGACACAAGCTCTGCGGATGGGAGTGCAGAAGGGCTATTGAGTACGGTCCCCAGCGCAGCTTTGCCTGGGAGCGCAGCAGGCCAGAGTGTGCCACTTGCTGCCCGTCCCAGCCCCCCCTTTCTGTCTGCAAAGTCCTGAGATGGCTGTGGGGCAGTCAGGGAGGGGGAAGCTGTGATCTGCCCCCTCCTTTGCATTGCCCACCTCTCTCTGGGAAGTACAGTGCCTGTCGCTTGCTGCAGCGGCCGTGCCAGGGAAGTCCAGACTGTGCCCCTGGTAAGAAGCTGTGAAGGAGTTAGGAGTCTACGACACGTCATTTCACATAAAAGAGCTGATTGCAGTCACCCCCGCCGTGTATCAATGAAATTGTGGAGCAAAAACCAGGGACATTCCCAAGGCAGCAAAATACCATGTTTGACTTGCCCTCCTGCCACTTCTCGTTTTGCAGTGGTGGTTCCCTATAATCAGCTGTCCGTTCTCCACCTTGCTTTTTTCCCTTTTCCCACAACAGGAGGGCTTACTGGTTGGGGTGTGACCGGGCTACTGCCCTGCCCCGGGAGGAGGATGAGAAAAGATTGGGGTGTGACCTCCCTTCACAAGGTGTCTGTGCACTTAGGACCCCCGAGGTCCTACTGGGAGATTGTGGGTTCCAGTTCCCCGTGCTGAATGGGGCATTGTTGGTGGCTAGCCTGAGATTTTCAGAAGACCCTGAAAAACCACAAGTCCTATTTTCTTTTCCTCATCTTCCCTCCAGCCCCCATCTTTTTTTTTCCCTCCCCTTCCTCATTTCTTTCATCACACCCCAGGATTGTGGCCATGTGGGAAGGACTTGTGGGGAGACAAAGGACCCTTGCAGTCCTCAGTCACCTTTGCATTTCCAATGGTCTTTTCCCATAGATAACCGCCTGCAGGTGAACCAGACCCACAAGAACATCACAGTGCTGGAGAACCAGTGGGTGACCCTGGAGTGCCTGGTCAGCAGCCGGACCAGCCCCTCGTCCCAGCTCTCAGTGGAGTGGTACGTCTGGCGGCCAGGCCACCCGGAGAAGGAGGCGGTGGCCCAGCTGAGCCGGCAGAGCACCCTGCGTTATGGGGACCTGGCAGTGCTGGGTGACCTGCGGAGCCGGCTGCACCTGGAGAGCCCGTCCCCGGGTCTCTACCTCCTTTCCATCCAAAATGCCACCGTGCGGGACAGCGGGGTCTACGACTGCCGCGTGGAGGAGTGGCTCCTTGACCCCAGTGACCGCTGGTACAAGCGGGCAGAGGACCTCTCCGGACTCACCACCCTCACCGTCAAGCAGCCAGGTGAGGAGGATCTCGTAGCAACAGCTTTGAGCAGCGCTCTGCCCTCTCCGACCGAATGCATGAGTCGCCGTCTGTCTGTCACTGACAGTGGGTCTGGGCAGAGGGCAGGAGCGCTGGGCTGCAGACTGATGCTTTCTTGCATGTCTGCTTGGGCGCATCCTTGCTGTTCTGGAAGGAGCATAGAGCAAGTCCTGCCAAGACAGCTAGATGGGCTTGGGATTTTGTCACCGCTGCATCTGCAAGTTTATTTTTTTTACAGCACTTTTGGCAGATTCAGTAGGATAGGCTTCTGATTTTATTCACATCTTGATTGAGAATGAGATGGGAGAAACTATCTGTGCTTCCCAGGCGTGTGCCCCAGGGTCAAGGTCTCTGCACGAAAAGAGGGCAGCAGAGGAGGTCGAGACCCTTGCTGGTGTCCAGGTAGTTTCTCACGCTGCTGCTCCCTGTTCTGTGGGTGAAGAAGCAGATGCAGGGTGCGCAGCTCCAAGGGTTCATCTGCCAGTTGGGACAAGGGCTTGGGCTTCTTGATGGGGCAGAAGTTGGCTATGAGGAGCCTGCTCTGTATGGACAAGGGGGTGCTTACGGGCTTCCTGGCCACCCCCTTGCCAGTGATAGTGGTTCAAGCAGATCCTGCTGCCTAACACCACTGTTTTGGCTGTGCTCAGACACAGGAAGGCAGGCATCAGGGATTGCCACAGGTGCTTCTTGTTCTTTCCAGGATCTAGTGAAGAAAAAAGTGCAACACAAGTTCAAACTGGGGAGGAAACTCCGGTTTCAAAGGGTTGTGAGTAGAGTAGAGTAGAGTGGAATATTGCAGTTGGAAGGGACCTACAATGACCACCTAGTCCAACTGACCACTTCAGGGCTGACCAAAAGCTAAAGCACATTGTTCAGGGCATTGTCCAGATGCCTCTTAAACACTGACAGGCTGGGGGCATTGACCACCTCTCTAGGAAGCCTATTCCAGTGTTCAACCACCCTCTCAGTAAAGAAATGCTTCCTCATGTCCAGTCTGAACCTCCCCAGTGCAGCTTTGAACCATTCCCCTGTGTCCTATCACTGGATCCCAGGGGGAAGAGCTCAGCACCTCCCTCTCCACTTCCCCTCCTCAGAAAGCTGCAGAGAGCAATGAGGTTGGCCCTCAGCCTCCTTTTCTCCAAACTAGACAAGCCCAAAGTCCTCAGCCTCACAGGACATGCCTTCCAGCCCTGCCACCAGCTTCGTTGCCCTCCTCTGGATGCATTCAAGGACCTTCTCATCCTTCTTACATTGTGGGGCTCAGAACTGCACACAGTACTTGAGGTGAGGCCGCACCAACGCTGAATACAGGGGGATAATCACCTCTCTTGACCAGCTGGTTGTGCTGTGGTTGATGCCCCTCGGGATGGGGTTTGCCCTCTGGGCTGCCAGGGCTCACTGCTGGCTCACATTGAGCCTGCTGTCGACCGGCACCCCCAGATCCCTTTCTGCGGGGCGGCTCCCCAGCCACTCCTCTCCCAATTTATACTTGTGCCTGGCGTTACTCTGTCCCAGATGCAGAATCCAGCATTTTCACTTGTTAAATTTCATCCCATTAATCAAGCCCAATGCTCCAATCTGTATAGATCCTTCTGCAAGGCCTCTTGTCCCTCAAGAGAGTCAACAGCACCTCCCAGTTTAGCATCATCAGCAAACTTGCTAATGGTGCATTCAACTCCTGCATCCGGATCTTTTGGTATTGAACAGAACTGGCCCTAGAACTGAGCCCAGAGGAACACCACTGATGACCAGCCACCAGCGAGATGTAGCCCCATTCACTACAACTCCTTGAGCCCTGCCCTTCAGCCAGTTCTTCACCATGCACACCATGAACCCACTCATCCCACAGTTGGAAGGATGCTGTGAGAGACAGTATCAAAAGCCTTACTAAAATCCAGAAAAACTACATCCACCGCCTTCCCTTCATCCACCAGGTGGGCGACTTTATCATAGCAGGGTATTAAATCAGTTAAACCGGGCTTTCCCTTTGTGAACCCATGTTGGCTATGCCTGATGATTGCATTATTCTTTAAATGCCTTTCAAGAGTACCCAGTATGATCTCCACAATTTTTCCAGGTACTGAGGTTAGACTAACAGGTCTGCAGTTTCCTTGGTTTTTCCCTCACACCCTTCTTATAAATTGGAATAACGTTGGCTGGCTTCCAGTCAGCAGGGACCTCTCCTGATTCCCAAGGCCTTTGGATGATGATCGATGCCTTAACACGCGGTCACTCCTTCAGAACTCTGGGATGACTCCCATCAGGCCCCATGGACTCGTGAACGTTCAGCTGATAGAGCTGGTCCCTTACCATCTCAGTGTCCACAAATGGAAAGTCACTGTTCCCACGCCCCGTGGTCCTCTGACGCAGGGGACTGGGCAGCCCAAGGTCTAGCAGTATCATTAAAGACTGAGGCAAAAAAAGCACTGAATGCTTCTGCTTTTTCTTCATCCCTGTTAGTCAGGTGACCATATTCAACAAGTACCAGTCCAGTAGTTTCTTTAGACCTCCTCTTGCTGTTAACATACTTAAAAAGCCCTTCTTGTTAGCTGACACAACGCTGGCCAGTTTCAACTCTTAACTGAGCTCTGGCCTTTCCTGTCTTCTCCCTGCATATGCAAACCACAGCTCTGCAATCTTCCTGCGCCGCCTGAGCTTGCTTCCAGAGATCATAGAGTTTCTTTTTCCTCTTGAGCTCTACAGGGAGTTCCCTGTTCAGCCAAACCGATCTTCTGCCCCGCTCGCTTGACTCACGACACACTGCAGTTGCCTGCTCCTGTGCTTCTAAAAGGTGGTTCTTAAAGACTGGCCGGCACTGGTGGACTCACAAGCCCTCAAAAGCAGATTCCCAGGGTACTCTGCTAAGTTCCATCTGTTTCAACAACAGATAAGCTTGCAAGGACAATCTACCTTGGAAAATACGGATTCCCTATTTCTCGAGGCATGTGACTCAAGATTAAAGATTAAGTCTGTCGTAAAGGCTGTAGGTCAAATAACAGTTGTAGTCCTCATTTGCTGGGTACTTTCCAGGATGTAAAGCAGCCACTCTGCAAGCGCTGCTGCGGTGCTTTATGCCTGCCTGTTCCAGCGAGGTGCCAGCCTCATAACTCTGCAACAGAGCTGGCAAGAGGCTGAGATTCTGGAGAGGTTTTAGTGGTCGTTCCTGGCAGAGATGATTTGTACTGCGAAGGAGGAGCTCTCTCAGGGAATGACAGCACAGCCCTTATCTATCTGCCAGGTCCTTGCTTGGGAAACTTTGCTGGCCAAGATGGCTTGAGCAGAGACACCCCCCCACCCAGGCGATCCCTATACCCTGCATGCCCGTACAGTTGTAAGTGCCGCTCTTCGACCAGGCTGAGAATTGCCAGCCCTGATGGAGGGGGGAATGAACAGCAGGGGAAATCCTTGAGGCTTATTTGGAATTGCAGAAGGATGTGGAGTGGGAAGAAGAGAGGGAGTTGGGGGTGTACTAATTCAAGATAATTTTTTTCCTGAAAGTGCTTTGTTGTTGTTTGTTTTTCTTTCATAGCAGCCAGTACTTAACAAAATGACTAAACTTGCTTGTGACTCATGTCTTATTAGTGAGGATCTCCATGCGCATCGTTCGGGACTATAATCATGAGCAAAAGGGGAAAAAAAAAAAACCTGTCAGCACCTTCAGACAGCAGTTCTCTTTCTGCTTAACCTGCTGAGGTGGGGGACTGTCCTGGTTGAACCTGGCAGGCAGCTAAACACCCCGCAGCCATTCGCTCATGCTCCCTCAGTGGGATGGGGGAGAGAATCAGAAAAAAAAGTAAAACTCATGGGTTGAGGTAAAGACAATTTAACAGGACAGAAAAGGAAGGAAAAATAATGATAATGATAAAAGAATAGGCAAAACAAGTGATGGACAGTGCAATTGCTCACCACCTGCTGACCGATGCCCAGCCTGTTCCTGAGCAGCGATTGCTGTCCCCTGGCCACCTCACCCCAGTTTCTGTACTGCGCATGCCGTCCTATGGTCTGGCATAGCCCTTTGGCCAGTGGGGGTCAGCTGTCCCAGCTGTGCCCCCTCCCAGCTTCTTGCGCACCCGGCAGAGCAGGGGAAGCTGAAAAAGTCCTTGGCTGGTGTAAGCCCTGCTCAGCAACAACTAAACCATCAGGGTGTTAGCAACATTCTTCTCATCCTAAATTGAAACCAGAGCACTGTGCCAGCTACTAGGAAGAAAATTAACTCTGTCCCAGCCAAAACTGGGATAGAGAGGTTTTGTGTTGGTTTTGACAAGCCATTTTCTTCCCTTCCTCCTTTTTACCTTAGTAGTCCCCAGAATCTCAGGAGTTACCTCATTCCTGTTTGTGCTCAGGAGTCTTCCCAGGGAAGATGTGAACTGAAAACACTCGTGTTGCCTACGGCCTGAAGAGCTCTGGCCTTAATGAAGCTTTTCCTTATGGGGCCACTTAAAAAGTCTCGGGCAGGTGCTAAAATGAGAAGCCCTGCTGGGCACAGCAGCCCCCTGGCTGATGGGAGCTGGGGGACAGCAGCCCCCTCCTGCAGGGACACCCGGGGTCTGCGCGAGGGAGGGCTTGCCCAGCCATCCTCGCTGGAGGAGAAAGCACCTCTCCCTTTGGTGAGCTATTGGCTTGCCCTTCCTGCTCAGCTCCTGCATTGGAAAGGGCTTTTTTAATCTTTAAATGAAAGCTTAGATCCGGACTGATTGCGATCCCTGGAGTATGTGTTCCCTGGCAAGATGACTAAGCCAAATGTTAATTGCTGTTGAAGTCAGCCTTTAATCAACTCATTTGGGTTCTGGCCACTGTATCTCAGTTAGGTAAAAACATCTCTTTAGCCTTGCAGCAAGCACTAGAGAAAAAAAAGAACAAGAGGGGGAGACTTTTGGAAGCGTCCTTACTGTGTCTGTGCTGAGGACATCTCCATGGAGGAACCTCTTACCTAAATAACTTCCCAAATTGCTGGAAAAAATCCTCTCCTCTTCTGTCATACTGATTTTTCAAGTCTTTTGAGCGCTCTCAAAGAAGGAAAGAATAGGCACGGAGCGCAATGCTCTTTGCACCGGTAGCTGGGGAGTAGCAGTACGTTGCTTCTCGGCACGCTCACCAAACCTCGGTAGTTCCTGCCACGTTCTTGCAGCGCATCTGGATGAGCTGCCGCAGCTTTCTCCTCTGGCACGCGGGCCCGTTAGCTGGTGTGAGGGTCTGCGTGGGCAGGGTGGTCGCAGGAGGCTCGCAGCCAGCTCCTGTTCAACCCTGTGCCAGGCGGGGTGAGGTGAGGTGAGGTGAGGCGAGGATGCTGCGCCTGACGGGTTGACCAGAGAGGTACCTGTGGGACCTGGCAGGCTGCGTCAAGCCTTTGGATTTTGCTTGGATCGCACCCAGCACCGGAGCCATGACAGGCAGTTTGTGCCAGGGAAGGGTGGCTTTGATGATAGCATTTTGCTCAGGGGCTCACCTCTTCCCTTTTGTCATCTCAGACCCCACCTTGCAGGTGGACACAGCCACCGCCAACCTCACAGTGCAGGAGAAGGAGTCCTTCCCGCTGGACTGCAGCATCCTCTCCCGCTCCAGCCCGGAGTCCCACTTTGCAGTGACATGGTACAACCTGCGGGCCAAAGAGGCAGGCGGCCGTGCGGAGGAGGAGGAGGAGGAAGAGGAGGAGGAGAGGGAGGCGGTGCTGAGCGTGGGCCCCGATGCTGTTTTCAGCCCCGAGGCCGGTCGGTGGGAGGGCCGCCTGCGCTTCCAGAGGCTCTCGGCCGTGCTCTTCCGGCTGACAGTGCTGCAGGCCGGCGGTGCCGACACGGGCAACTACTCGTGCCGCGTGGAGGAGTGGCTGGCGGACCCCAATGGCGTGTGGTACCGGCTGGCGGAGGAGGAGTCGGGGACGGTCGCCGTTCACGTGCAGGATGCAGGTGAGATGAGCCGACGAGCCTCTTGGTGGCATGGCCCTGGCATCCCCTGCGTCTTTGGTTCAGCCAAGATGAAAAGGCCAAGGAGCAAGTGGGACTGGGTCTCGCCTGCACTGGGGCAAATCTATGGAGCTTTTCCAGTCAGCTCGGTGGCTTGTAGTCCAGCTCTTGGCTGGGCTTGCGCTTCTGCGCTGTGTTTAGCGCTGTGCTAGGGCTGCCCATCCCACAGCCCTCACTGCCTGCTGTGTCCTAGCTCAGGGGGGAGGACATCGATCCCCACAGGGTTTAGCCTTTCCCTTTGGGAAGCACCCTGGAAGTTGACTTAGCTCTGCACAAGGACACAGGCTGTGGCACAAGGGTCTCCTCCCAGTAACTCGAGAAGCCATCAGATGGCCCAGAGGCCCCAGAAATAGCTGAGGTGATGACAGTTTTGTGGGCCCTTACGGGAGGTATCCTAGGGTGCTGCCTCTGTGTACCACCACTGAGGGAAATGATGCTTTGCAAGGCTCCCTGCTTTATAAGATACCAGAAAATCCACACCAGGGAGGACTCTCTGTAGCACTTACAAAACTCTTGGTGGGGGAATAAAGCCAAAACATGCCCTGCAACAGCTTTTTTCTGCTGCTCTGTTTACCACTATTGGTATTTTTCTCATAGCCTCACTTCCTGCACTGACACAGATTAATAAGCATCTGGTTTTTATGTTTTTGAAGAAGTTTGTAGGCCATGTGTTGCACAGAAGCTGTGAAATGTGACCGTTCTGTGTCTCTTTCCAGGCTCCACCCTGCAGTCTGTCATCTGCTCCAACGACGCCCTCTTCTACTTTGTGTTCTTCTACCCGTTCCCCATCTTCGGCATCTTGATCATCACCATCCTCCTGGTGCGGTTCAAGAGCCGAAACTCCAGCAAGAACTCGGAGGGCAAGAACGGGGTCCCCTTGCTGTGGATCAAAGAGCCTCACCTCAACTACTCTCCCACTTGCCTAGAGCCACCGGTCCTCAGCATCCACCCAGGAACCATAGACTAAAGAGGCAGAGGCGCCCAGGGAACGCGCAGAGAGAGGAAGCAGAGACACACCGGGAACGCTAGGGAACAGAGTGGGTTTTGTTGTTCTTGTTTCATTTGTTTCAGTGTCTGTGCTCTGGCGTGGCGGATGAGCTCCGCAGAGCGCTCAGCCGGCGGGGACAGGAAAGTCTGAGGCTTTCTCCAGCACCTGTAGGAACACACTCGATCACCCCGACGGACGGAAGGTCCCTGTGCTTGCTGTACATAGCAGATGTTCCTCTCGGACTAATTTTGCTCCCGTCAGTTGCTGTCCTTTGGGCTGTTACTTTTTTGTTGTCGTTTCTTTTTTGGTCTCTCCAAGAACTGTAGGCTTCCCCCACCCTCCACACAGCGAGGAGTTCCCAGGGGGCTTTTGGTCCTGGGATGACGTCTTTGGAAGTAAATGTGTATGTTTTCCAAAAGAGACTGTAGTTTTCTTCCTCAGAGTCGGTGAAGAAGGTCTTTTCCCAAGGTGCGCTGAGCTAGCTCCTTCCTCTTCCAAAGCAGACAAAGCTCTGGAGGGGGTTAGCTGAGCTATTGGGAGGTTCATCTCACAGACTGGCTGTAGCCTCGGCATCTTCTTGCCTCCGTCTTACTGTTCTCTCAGGAGGGGTCAATTCACCTTTTGGGAGCGTTCCCCCATCTTGGAGAGACTGAATATTCAGTGTGCTTGCCATCAGGACAAAAGCGATTTAGTTTGTCTCCAGGAACCGAAGGGGCAGGTGGAAGGAGGACATCTGAAAGCCCTGACTTCGTTGGTAGCAAAGGGGGTCCTCGTATGGTCCAGCTTACCAGAGTCGCACTCTTCCCTGTTGTCCATGCTGCCACCTCTGACGAGGCGGGTCCCCTCTGTGCCCCGGTTGCCTGGGGACAGGTGGCTGGATCCAGTCTCTGAAGACTTCAACATGACCAAAGTAATGACTCAGGGGGAAAGGGGGAGCTCCACAAGTTGGGTTCGTGGCCCCTGGACGGTTCAGCCAAGGAGCCCAGCTGCAGCCACGCCAAGCAGCAGGGACAGGCAATTAACCCCCGCGTGTCACGAGTTTCCCCGTGGCTTGCACTACTTCCTGGCGCGAGCTTGGACAAGACGAGGAGCCTGCACCACACCGGCGCCCTGGGGGCTTCCCTGTCATCTTGGGCCAAGAGAAATCTTCCCCTGCATGTGTGCGTGCTTCTGCCATTTTTTGTTCCTGGGGCTTTAGGAGGAGAAACCATCCCTCCGTAAGCTCCCCCTCCTGGCAAAGTCACCTGCTTTTGTCAGAGGCAGCTGCTGTGGCAGGAAATGCTGTTCTTTCTGTGAAAGATATGGCTCTCGTGAACCAAACCAGGGCTCTCTTCGTGTGGGGCACCTGAGCTCCCGTACCCCATAATGCCAAGTACCCCTGCCCTGTCCTGTGGAGGAAACCGCCTCCTCCCCGCTACGCCCGAAGCGTTACGTCTGGCGGAAGAAAACGTTTGCCAAAAATGGCCTTTTGTCGTCTTCCTTGATGTCTTCCTGGCAAATCTGGCCATTTATTTTTTTTTGCAGCACAGCTGAAGGCAACCAGGGCAGCTGGGCGCAGCCACAAGACTCTCCCCCCCCACCCCGCCTCATGCGTGAGAGGTGCCATACCATCACTGTCCTCTTCGGGAGGGTTGGACTGCTCTTCGTGAAGAGAAGGGGGCCTCAGCAGATGCTCTGTAGCACTATTCTGTTAGACCCTGATGCCTTGATGTTTCAGAGGTGGCCTCGGGTGGGAGATCTGCACCGCACATCCTCTCTCACGGCTGGGAGAGGACCCGCATGGCCACGGAGCATCCCGTGCCAGGACACTCAAAGTCAGCCACCTCTACTCCTCCACCAGAACGGCATTGATTTCTTCTTCCACTGGGAAGCCCGAATTTTCACTCGTCCCTCCATGAAGTCTGCCTCCTTGAGACGTAACTTCTTACTGGCTCCAGCATACGCATAATATCACACTCCTATATATATATATATATATATGTATCACACACCTACACACTTGTCTTCCCTTTCTGGATAAGGCGTCTGCAAAGAGAGGAGTGGGATGAGAAGTGAATGGAAATGAAGAACCAAGGTGCAAACAGCAGTGGCTGCAGGCAGTGGGTATTGTTCCGTAAATGTAGTATCTTCTGTACATACTGCTCCTGGGCAGGAGCTGCAACTCATTTCAGCTTTAAAGGAAAAAAAGAGAAAACGAAGTCAGCAGGAGCTGTTCTTTCCTGGGAGAGCACTGTGCTGCATCCGAGCCATGCTTCCTTCTCTCCGGCCTGTCTGCCTCAGAGCAGGGCTCTCCTGGAGGGCTGTCCTGTGGCCCTGTCCCCCTGGCCAAAACGGGTCCCTTCCCAGCCTGGCCCTTCCTGCACCGAGCCCAGGCTTTCCCAGGAAGCGGCTCCCACAGTGGTCCCTGAATGTACCTTGCCGGCGACATTCCTCTCTTGCCCTGGCAGTGGGTTGCCCAGGCTCAAACTTCTGTTTTTTATAAGGCAGACTCTTCCTGTAATGAGTTTTAACACAAAGCTTTTCAAACCACTCTCTCTGCTGTAACTTTCTGTAACAACGAACCCAAGAGGAAAGAGAGATACCCTATCCATGCATGATGTGGAAAAATGTTTGGGATTTTTTTTTAAAAAAAAAAAAAAAAAAAAAAAAAGAAAAACCAACAAAAACTTTGTACTATGTTGCACTAAAACATGTTTTATACAACACACCTGAGAGCTGTAGTAAACTGTGTTGAAATTGTGATTCCTATCGCGGCTGGTTTTTGTCAGATTTGGGCTTTCATTACGTGCACCCCCTGCTTAAAGGTGTGCTGAACTCCTAAGCCAGCTCCCCCTTTTAGGCAGCCTCTGCCTCCACCCCTGTTCCCTTGATGCAGCAACTCTCCTCCTGCCCCGGTATCGCATCTCCCCTCTCTTGCAGGCTGGAGCTTGCAGACACCTTGCACCCTCTGGCTCTTCATACTTCTCCCTCCCATCCCTTAATTCATCCCATAACAGAATACAACATTTAACAAGCGGCTTGTCAGGTCTATTTATCGCGTGGGATTCGTGGGTTTTGAAACTGCTCTGAAAATAGTAAGTGCTTTGCTGTGTCAAAGTCTGGATTTGGAGGAAAAAAAAAACCTTAGTTTTTTATAAAATTATCCATAACAAGTATTAAGCAAATCATCTTTAGTGACCTTGATGTAAGCAGAAGATCATAGTTTACCATAAGAAGTTGTTTAAATTGATGCAAAATGCAACTTTTCAATTCTCATTACTCACTTCTACCTTGCGTTAGGGTTTGGTCAGTAGGCTTGAACTCCCCCATTAACTGAATTAGGGAAGTTGTGTGATACGTTCTTACCTCTATAGCCCAAGTGCCCAAGCGCAGCTGTCAGGTTGGGTTTGGGTTTGGTTTTTTTCCCACATTCATTTAAAACAAAAAAACCACCATCTGCTAAAATAATTGTACGAGAAAACTGTTGTCCCTGGATGCACCTGGCTGTTTGCTCACACCCACCCACCCATCCACCCACCCAGCAGGCTGTCTTGGGCTGTACCCACTATAATCTCTGTGCTAAGGAGCAGAGTTTTTTGGCTTTACACATGCTCAGAGCTGGGTGGCCGGTGGTGTCCCCAGCACGCCCCATCGGCAGCACAGGGCGGCAAGCATGGGCTAGCCAGGCCAGGTTTGCTGGGAAGCATCTCTGCCAGCCCATGTATGCTCCCTGTGGCCAGGTGCACATCCCTGACCCCCTCTGGCATGCTCCTGTGGGCAGGACCCTTGTTTGGGGCAGCTTGGGGGGGGGTTTGCTGCTTGTCCTGCTGCTGGAGCATCGCTAGCCATGCTGCAGCGGGTGCTCCTGCTCCCCTGGAGGACGATGTGTGGCCGCCATGCTGACGAGGAGGGATGTCTCAGGGCTCAGCTGCTCGAGGGACAGATGCACTGTTGCGTGCTCCCATCAACCCCCCTCGTAACTGCTTTCCACTGCCCACAAGCCCCAGGCTGCTCCCTCCAAAATGGTGTCCCCACTGAAGCCAACACACACACGCACAGAGAAAAAGCAGGCCTGGCCCTGGCTTACGCTTGTGTGCTTTAATCCAGCAGGTTTGCAAACCGAGTCTGCAAAACCTCGTGGGAATGAGGGGCAGCAGGTGGGGTAAGCACGCCCCTGGGGGGCCCTGCTGCCCCCCACCTAGGCGATGTGGTACAAGTCCCTGGCCACCTGCTCCAGGCGGTCCCTGTACTCCAGGTGGGCGTAGAAGGAGGCGCTGACCCCCCGGAAGCCGTGCATGGCCCCCCACCAGCAGGCTGCGATGGCGGCAGTGGAGTCGCTGTCGCCCCCGTGGAAGAAAGCCCGGTGAGCCAGCTCTGTCCAGGAGTCCCCCGCGCCCAGCAGCGCGTCGTAAGCGATCATGGGGGCGTCGTGCCCGCTGCTGCCCCCCCAGCCATTGTAGCTGAGGGAGGCGTAGAACGAGTCTCTCTCCTCCACACCGTACTGGGGGGGGAAGATGGGCAGTGAGCCCCCGTCTGACAGGCCTCTCTCCACCAGGTATTTTTCCCATTGCTCTTCAAAGTAATGCCTGCAAGACAAAAGAGGAGACAAGCTGGAGGGGCTGCAAGAGACGTCCCACAGCAGATGCATATATCCGAGCTCCCCGCAGGCGCTATGGGCGCCAGCTGAAAATGTGCCACGTCAAGAGCCCGGAGCAATGGCTGGGCAAAATGGTAGATGTCCCCCCCCCATTTGTCAAACTAGGGACATGATTTACAGTAAGAGGCACAAGGACATGTTTCAGTGAGTTAAGATTTCCCCTCCCTCCAGCCACATGGGAGAAGGCAGCCCAGCACCTGCTGCTGTCGCGCTGCACAGGATTCAAAGGCTCAGAGCGAGAACTGAGTCATCCTCCCAGATTCAGAGTACCTCTACCCCTGCCTGTGTGCACCCCTGCGCGCAGAGCTGCGCTGCATCTGCAGCCAGATTTGGTTATAACTTTCAAACTGAGCTCAGCCCTAAGCCTGGTGCTGCTCCCCAGCCTTGCTTCCCATCTTTCATCAGGTCACAGCTGCTTGAGATGACAAGTCATACCATACTACTATCCTACCTCATACTGGATCCAAAAAAATGTCACACCTACATGACCCAAACAGAACTTTTTTTTTTTTTTTTTTTAAATAAGTTTTAGAGGTATTTTTTCCCTGGGGGCCTTCAGAGACTTTCTGAATCGATTCAATCCCATGGCAGGCATGTGCTGCTCTAGGAGTTTACCATAACGTGATTAGTGAAGCTTAAGGATAAACAGAGCTCACCCTCTCGCACATGCGGTTTAATTTTAACAAAACCCAGTGCTGGGAGCGCAGCTCACCATTGCTCCATGTTCTCCTCCACGAAGAAGCCGGTGTCCCGCACGTAGGCTTTTGCCCGTGGCAGCACCTCCAGCAGCCCCTTCCCCCAGGCCGGGGGGGGCACGCCCTTCACCGCGAAAGCCGTGAAGAGAGCCGAAACCAGGGACCCCAGGTAGCCGGTGGGATGGTGGTGGGTCATTCGGCCGCTCTCGATGCTGACTTGCACCAGGGTGTCCAGCTGCATGGGGTGGTGGAAACGCAGCCCGATGCACATGGAGCGCATGGCGGCCCCGCAGCCTCCCGCCTGGGGGCTGAACGGGACCCTCCAGCCGTCCGGCCGCCCCGGATCCAGCTTCAGCGCGTTTGTCATACACATGGTGCCTGGACAGGAGCAGCAGAGCCCGAGAGAGAAAGAAAGGAAAGGAAAGAAAAACAGAAGCACGCATCAGTAGGCAACAGGGTCACAGAGCTCGGGAACCAAGGGAAGACAGGCAGGGTAGCAGGGAAGGAAGCGTTACTCTCTGTAAGGGATTCGGGCTTCCCTGTAAAAACATCGGTTGTCTGCTTGCGTGTGTTTCTTGCCTTAAATTGCCGGTGCATCCTGCATATTCCCAAGCGGACCTGGAAATTCCTGTTTGTGAGAATAATTAAAAAGTCTAGGGGAGTAAAAAACATTTCACTGCTGATATATGTAATTTGGATGGTTTATATTTACATTGCATGTTGTTTATTTAATAACTTATAAAACAAATACTATATATATTAGGTATATTATGTACACATATATCTAGATCTCTAGGTAGACATATATAAAGGAAGTTTGGAAGGCCATCAGCTCACAGTGATCCCTGATCCAAGGCATGCCTAAGTATCCCTGTGGGTTTTCTCCCGACAGTTGTTTAGCCTCTTTACAGGACCCTTTAAAGACAGTGACCCCACATGCTCCCCAGGAATCTTTCCCATTGCCTCACTGATAGGAAATGTCTTCCAGATCTCCCTCGCCGCAGTTTAAGCTTGTCAGAAAGTGACAAATGTAGGATCTCCCTCACCACAACATGGTCTGCCCAACTGGCTTTACTGTACTTCAGTAAGCTGAAGAACAACTGTACTAGGTCAGACCAAAGGTTTGCCCAGCCCACTAGCTCGTCTCCAAACACAGCCTCTAACAGGTAACTACGGAAAGACTACAAAAAAATGAGGCAGGAAGACCCGACTGGCTTCCAGCTGACAGAGGAGCACAGCCTGCCTGAGTTGGAAGATGGATCCAAAATGCTGCATTCAACAGGCCCCAAGTGGACCTAAGCCACCACAAACTGGTCTCCTTAGCTTGAACCCATTCATGCCTTCAGACTCCTTTAACATCCCCTGGTAACCAAAGCCACAATTTTCTTATGCAAAGCATTTCCTTTTGTTTTAAACTGACAATTGACAATCTCCTTGAATTCCCCTCTAATTCTTACGTTACAAGAAATAACAACTTTTCATGCTCCATGCTATTCAAGACTGCCTGTACTCTGTCCCTCTTCCTCAGTTTTCTCCTGCTCCGAGCTGACACCCTAGCCCAATTTTGCCTCTCTTCTGGTGCGAAGCCACACCGTAACTCATCCTCTCCCACCTCTGTCTCTTTCATAGTTCTGCTGTTTACTTTTTAAGGAAATGACTCTGCTTCTTCCAGTGCTCCTTCTTCAGAAATTCACTTGTTAGTGCAGCACATTCATAGAATAAAGCCACTGCACAAACACATCCAAATTTCAGAGCCCAGACAGCTTCCCCAGCCAAGATCATGAAAAAAATTGTCAGAGCTAAGCCCAAATGCTCATGTGCAAGGAAGAGGGAACAGGTTTCAAACATTAAATTAACTTTGATTCTCTTCCACCTTGCCTTTTTCTCCTCATCTTCTCTTCTGGCCAAATCTTAAGTACTTCTTTTCCAACAGGAAGGTAAATCGTGGGCAGGTTTCAAGCAGCTTCCTTTTAAGCTTTACTGTGTTGGACAATGGCAAAAGTGGACTCAAAAGTCTAGGCTTCTCCTAATGACAGTGTGCCTAGTCCTCTCTCAGGCACATAGGGTAACAGCAGGCATTGACATGCTCATGCACCCAAAATTAGACCATTGCTCCTATACTTTGCTGCCGAACCGGGAAAGGTAGCTGATAAACTTGCCGGTGCTCTGTTGCTTTGGAAGTCAAACTAAGCAGAGCAGAGTAGCAAGGAAGAAGCCTGCTCTAGAAACTTCATGTAACTCTCAGTTCCCTTCGGTGCCATTTGATCACCGTGATCTGGGAGCTTGCTAATCACAGCTAGGTACTACACTACACTAGCAACTACAAGTTGCTTCTGCACTTTTATGTATGCGCTTGGCAGTAGGATTCGGTATAGGGCAGTCTGTTCTACCTGCACACGGCACTTACAGCACCCTTGTAAGTGAAATACCTCCACATGCAAGCACAGCTTTGAGACTGGTTTCTGGACATTCGCTAAAAATAAATAATGGCTGGCTGCAGACCGCAATAAGGTCATGTGGATCCTTTTATAGTTCTGGTCTAAGGTTCTCTAGCCTATTTCTTTCCCAACAGCGTGGCTACAGTATAGACTTACTAGATCAGCGCAGGATACCACTCTCTGTGCAGTGTGAACGGGTGGACCAGCTCTCCGTGAATGGCTGTCTCAAACTGAAAAAGCAGCTTGGTCCTGTGCCTGTTGGGCTATTTGCCCCGCAAGACCGTCAACTGAAATCAACTTTGAGAACGGAAACAGCCTGTGCAAGTCTCCCCCACAGGAAAAAAATGGGTTGCCCATCAGCGCAGCCCACAACGTCCGTCAGGCTGCTTCAGCTCTCATGAATTCCCCACGGCATGACCCAGGCTATTTCACCAGCCTCAGCCATGCCCACTGTGCCGGCACACCAGCCTCTCATGTGACGCCACCGTCACACCCTTCCCAGTAGATGAGACCTACTGGTTTTGTGGTGCCGCACCGGACCCCTGGATGGGTCCAGATGTTCCTTACACATCCTTTTTCCCAGTGATTTAGTGAGTGAAAATTGCAGGGTCATGTTTCTCTGCTGGAAGAAGCAGCAGGCAGAGCGTTTGGTGTGAGCAGCACCGGGTTCTGCCAGGACTGGTGGCCACCAACCTCCAACTGAACTGCCTGGGAGTTTGGGTTTTGTGATGTCTCAAAGGGGGAACGTGTTCAGGCCTGTAAATCTGCTTTTTGTGTAGTTTATTAACCCAGTGCAGGCCGCTTTGTATCAAAATTGTTAGGAGGGGTATCAGTGTAATTTCCAACTTTATGACGGTTAACAGAAAACTGAGGCATTTTTTCAAAATTGAAACTATAGTAAGCATTGCACTTATGACCTGTAATAGGACATTGAAAAGAACCTGTCAAACAAAGCCATGCTTTTAAAAAGCTGTGTCGACTACCCTATTCGTATGTTCCTGGTAAAACAGACCTTCTGCCAGGAAGACAAGGGGAAGGGGAGAGAGCAAAGGGACTAGGGTAGCTTAAAATC